TTGTTTCATTTCTCTCAGAATCATAGTGCTTTGCTGCCTGTTATCCCACTGTCTGAAAATAATTCATTCTTACATTTTGTCCAGTTTCTGGTTGTTTGTGGCAGGAAGTTAATTCTGAACTCTTATTCCTTCATAGCCCTAAGTGAAATTCCAAAAGTCGTTGCTATCTTTTTTCTCTTGTTTGTGAAATGTCTGTTTTCTCTTGATGCTTTCTTTATTTCTTTTTCTTTTTTTTTTTTTTCTGAGGAAGATTCAGCCTGAGCTAACATTTGTTGCCAATCTTCCTCTTTTTTGCTGAGGAAGATTCTCCCTGAGCTAACATCTGTTGCCAGTCTTCTCTTTTTTGTGTGTGGGTTGCTGCCACAGCATGGCCACTCATGAGTAGTGTAGGTCCACACCTGGGAACCGAACCTGGGCTGCTGAAGCAGAGCATGCCAAACTTAACCACTAGGCCTCTGGGGCTGGCCCTCTTGATACTTTCTTTTATCACTGGATTTCAGCAATTTGACTATTAAGTGCCACAGAGTAGTTACCTATGTGTTTACACTATTTGGAGATCGCTGAACTTCTTGAATCTATGGACTTTGGAAACTTTGGCCATGATTTATTCTACTATTGTCCTGCCTTTCCTCCATTTACATGTATGTTAGACTGTTTTGCTGTTTCCAACAGGTACGGAGGTTTTGCTCATTTTTTGACTGTTTTTCCTCTTCTATGCTTGATTTTTTCATTTTTATTTCTATATGTTCATGTTCACTGATATTTTTTTCTGCAGTATCTAATTTGCTGTTAAGTGAAACTTTTCGTTTCAGATTTTTCATTTCTAGATATACCATTCGTTTGGTATTACTTTAAGACTCAATTTCTCTTTTCATTCTTCTCATGTTTCTCTTTTAATACTTGAATATATTTATAACAGCTGGTTTAATGTCTTTATTTGCTTATTCAATCATCTTCACCTTTTTCTAGGTATATTTCTATTGATCAGTTTTTCTCCTGGCTATTGGTCACATATTTTTTGCTTTGTACATATCTAATAATTTTTCTTGTAGATTAGACACATTATTGAGTGTCTAGATATTATTGTCTTTTAAAGAGTGTTTTTGCAGGTGTATAAGTTACTAGTGATTGAATTTCATATTTTGGAGGCTTATTTTTAAGCTTTGTTAGGGTTGTCTTTTAGTAGCCTTTACTCTAATGCTGTCTAGCCCTACTCTTAAGGTGGAACTCGTCTGGAATCTCTCCTAAATACCCCAGATGTTCGTTCAGATCATTCTACTCTGGCTAGTTGGAGCCAAAACATCTTCCTAGCCTTGCTGTGAGACCCATGTGAATAGTTAAGTTTACAGCTCTCTAGTAGATGCCTTTTCCTTGGCAAATTTTCTTTATTTGGTTCTTGATATCTCACTCTACATGTGTCCATGTTGGTGTTTAACCGGAACTTTAAAGGAATCTCCATACAGGTTTCTGGAAATTTCCCTATTTATAGGCCTTGCCTTGTCAGTACAGTGTCCTGTAAATTCTAGCTGTTTAGTCTCTATAGACTCTGATCTCCATCTTATCAGCGAGGCTACTGTGCTCTGCTTGGGTTCCTCCTCCCTGCACCACAGTTCCCCCAGGCAGAAATCCAGCATTTAGGCTCATTTCATTTATTTTCCTTCTCTCAGAGATGACAGTCCTGTGCTTTCTTTGTCTAATGTCTTAAAACATTTATTTAATATATTTTGCATTGTTTTATCAATTTTAGTGGTGAAAGCATGTCTAATACCACCTCCTCCAGTTTGTCAGAATCAGAAGTAATGAATGTGTCTTATTTTTATTTGAATCAATTTTTAAACAAATTTTTAATTATACAAGTATAATTTAATGTATTCTCCCGTTAAAACAATTATGGAAAAGTTAAATTTTCCTTTTAGTTAATCTCCTAATCTTGGTCTTCTTTCTTCTGTCAAATCTAACTAGTGTTACCAACTTGATACACAGCCTTTTAGGTACTTTTTCTATGCATTTATATGTGTATGTATCCATAGAATAATTTTAATACCATTTTTTTAGGTTGTATATACTTTTAATATCATAACTTAGAATGTATTTGTTTCTCTTTCACTTTAAAAAAACAATGTGTATTAGAGATTAGATTTATTAGACTAGGAGTATTAGTACAAACAAATCTACATCACACTCTTTGTATGTCATGATACTATTTTCAGTGAGAATAGAGATTGATCCTCAGTAGCTCATCTTTTAGACTTGCTACAAATGCTTTCTTTTTTTTTTCTAGACTTTTCCAGCCACCCTGGCATATTGCCCTATTTCTCTGCCCCAAGTGTTACTCTCTCGGAGACAGATTTCAACTCCACCTCTAATGGTTTCCCAGGGCCCTTTTTACTTGTAATTTCCACTGGTTTGGCCTGGACCATTCTTTGTGTTGTTCTTATCTATTAGGTACTTGGGTACAGTATGCTCTTTATTATTTTGTTAACCTGATTATAGTAACTAGTAGTGCATCTGCTTGGGAAATCTAAAAAAGAATTATACTTTGGCAACTTGCAGAGCTGCTTCTGTGTAAAATCTCATCCTAAGAAAGGGTACCTGGGCAGGAGCCTTACCCTTTCCCTGTTCTTCTCAAGCAGCCCTTTTCTGTTATTCCATAGAATGAAATTTCCTAGACCCAGAAGGGACCTAGCAGTGTTTTACAGGTAAAGAAACTGAGATCCAGAGAGGTAAAGCTGCTGGCTTATGGTCATGTAGGTAGTGAAGATCCACATATTTCCACCCTGGCTTGCCCTGTATTTTTCTGACATCTTGGGAAGCCATACTGTCTCGACTGTGTATCACATTTCTTTCCTGTTTTTTTGGCCTGGCACCCCTTTCACCCCCCTCCCTCCTTCCTTCACTTCTGGTAACCACCAATCTTATATCAGTATCTATGTGTTTATTTCACATTTATTTCTGTAGATCTACTTCAGAAAGCCAAAAGTGTCTCTTTTAGAGATTTTTGTTCTTCTTAAACACAGCTGAAATTGAGTCAGGGCTTTTTCAGCTGCCTACACAATTGCTCCTCTACCCCATCCTCTTGCACTTTTCTTGAGCATCTTAATAGAGAATATATCAACTCCTTTATTCTGTCAGTAGAATCAGAGATTGAAGACTGGGGAGAGTTGTTGTGAATGGCAATATTTTTTCTCACATATAGAAAAAAGAATAGGGCGCTGCATTTGTCAATCCAGTAACTTACTGCTAAATTTTAAATTTAATTTAATGAACTCAGTAAAATGGAGGGCTTTTTTTTCATTTTAAAATTCCTGAAAATTTAAAATTCATTTAAAATTCGTGAAAAACATTTTTTTTGTCTTTGTGGGTTTGTTTTGGGGGATGGGAGTAAGGAAAACAGACCAGTGTATATTTCCTTCCTAGCTAAAATTGAATTTCTATTTTTGTGTTTTACTCAAATAAGAAATTTGTGAAATGAATTCTGAACTGGTAATGGCTAATAACACGTATTTTGACATAACAGGATAGACATGATTCAGCTGATGATCAAAATATTTGTCATGTGTGGCACATGAATATAGAAGTCCTTCCAGAATGGATAAACTGCCTAATACAAAAGGTAAGTTCTTTAGTTTCTGAGTAAAATTAGGAATATACTACCTTCAGAATGTTTTTGTCCCCATCTTAGAACTATTTCTCTTGGATGCATTGTTTCAAGAGACATCAAAGGGTGTGTAACTCTTGATTACACTTACTGGCTTTTTCATTGTTACTGGAGTGCTCCAGGTACTTTTCTACCTCCCACTTTGCACTTGGTATTTCCTCTTCTTTGAAAGCTTTTCCCACAGATATTCACCTATTTCCTCATTTCAATGGGTCTTTCCTCTCAATGAGGCATTGCCTGGCCAACCTATCAACTGACCCCCACACTATTACCACTCTTCATACTTCCTTTCTCCCGTCTCTGCTTTCTGTACCTATCTATATTTTACACACACACACACACACACACACACTATAAGTAAAATTTAATACTAGTAAATATGCATGAGTATATATGACATATAAATATGTACATCATTATACACATCCACACACACACATACACATATACACACACTCACCCACACATGCATATGGCTTACTGATCTTGCTAATTGCCTAGCTCCACTATTAGAATATAAATTCCATGAAGTTAGGGGTTTTTATATTTTATTACTATATCGTCAGCACCTAGAACAGTGTCTATGAGTGAATGAAATATCCTGTATGTATCATTCACGTATGCACACACATATAAAATAAACTAGATTATGATTCTTATTGACACAATCAAAACTAAATACCACACTTTTAAGGATTCTTAATGAAATATTATAACAGCAAGAACTCACCTTGTTAACAGTATCATATCATTATTTCTCACAATTCAAAACACCTAAGTCTTAGAAAAGTGTAAGTAATATGATTTTTGGAAAAATATAGTTTCCTTTCCCCACTGAATAGCTTACTTTTTTTGTTAAAAAATAAAATTAGATAGATCTCTGTTGCATCCATTCTCATATTGTAATGATTTCCTGGGACAATGCCAGCGTGCTGTTTGCAAGTGTCCTGAACTTCATAAAATGTATTAGGACACTGCAGATATTCCACTGTCTCTGTTGAAAAGATAATTTTAAGCCAGTTCATTGTTAATTTCCAATCTGAGTATAGAAAATGCACTGTCTGATGTATGCAACCAATATCTTTTGGCTGTATGTAGAAAGGCAGGAAGAGCTTTATTCTGTTGATTGGGTGAAGTTCCCTCCCACAGTGCTTGGTATGCAAGAAGTGTATCAAAACAGACGCTTTTCTGTGAGATTTTACTTGCAAATTAAGCTCTGTAGACTGATTTGCTTCCTGGTGTTTTCTTTTCATTAGTTCACACTGTATCCATATTCAACCTATTGTTTAAGATAACTCAACCTATTGTTTAGAATTCTTAGCGTTGTTTAAATGGGCATGATGTGCAGTATGTTATTATTCTAGAACTTTGGAGCTGTTTATCTCTATGAGAAGGCTTGTTTCCATTTACTGTTCTGTCTGCTAATCAGAAAACAGAAAGCTAGCCTTTTCTGTGGCATAGAAAACTTTCATGTGGTTGGCTTTAAGAAAAAATGCAAAAACTCGCACATACTCTTTGATTACTTTACAGTGAAAGCATTGTCTTTATTTTCCTTTATGACCTGTAGGCCCAGTGGACAGTTGGAAAACTGAATTGCCCTTTCTGCGGGGCCCGTTTAGGGGGCTTTAATTTTGTCAACACTCCAAAATGTTCCTGTGGCCAGCTTGCAGCTGTACATCTCTCCAAGAGCCGGACCGATTATCAGCCAACACGAGCAGGCCAACTAATGAGACCATCACTGAAATACTTGTCACATCCTAGAGTTCAGTCAGGTTGTGACAAGGAAACTCTGCTGACAGGTGGCGCCTCCAAAAACAGAAATCACAGCCTTTTAAACATGGCTCAAAATAATAATGGTCCTGGAAGATTAACAGAAGCACTCTGCCTGGAGGTACGGTCAATGTGTTTTGAGATGAAAAATGAAAAACTGCTCTTCAAAGGATCAGATCCAAAATACCAGCTTTTTGTTCCCCAGCTTGTGACTGGAAGATGCACTACAAGAGCTTTTCATAGAAAATCACATAGTTTGGATCTGAACATCACTGAGAAACTGTCTTTATTACCCACTTTTTATGAAATACATAGTAAGACTACTGCCTATCCCAGGCTAAATGAAACACAGCCTATTGACCTTTCGGGCTTGCCTTTAGAAGCTAGTAAAAATAGCTGTTCCTTTCAGACTTCATCCAGTTTTGATCCTAATATGCTGCTGCAAAGATTTTCAGTGGCTCCCCATGAGACCCAGACACAAAGAGGAGGAGAATTTCAGTGTGGTCTAGAAGCTTCTGCATTGTACTCTGATCATGCTAGTTCTAGCAACCTGACTTTCCTGATGGACCTGCCCTCAGCTGACAGGAGCATGCTGGAGGCCTCGGACCAGGAAGAACACCTCTCTCATCTGGACTTCGTAGGCTCGGGGAGTTTTTCATTGGGTGCCATTAATCAGAGGCTCAATAAGAGAGAAAGGAGCAAGTTCAAGAATCTGAGAAGGAAACAACGAAGGCATGAAAGATGGCTGCAAAAGCAGGTAACTTTTTAAAAGAGTTTACTAAAAATTCTTTATTATAAATGTTGGGGTTTGGGGAGAGGAACTAACTTTGAATACCTGTGTTACAAAAACTTGGTTTTAATGATTTTTGAAATGACATTTCTCATTTCACTTTCATCACATTTAGCTTAAATACATATTTTCAAGGACCCTTAATTATGTGCCCACAGGTTCTAGATAGGGTTAACAGTGCTAAATTGTGAAAATTATCTAAGGGATAGTTGACCCTTACTGCAATTTTATAGGAGAGTATGCTTCTCTATGATTTAAACGCCTGTACCTATAATGATGTGATCAAGGACAGGGTGTGTGAAGGCACTGAACAATAAATGTGAGGTGCTGAGGAAACCAATTAAAGCCAATGGATAAGGTGCTCATGAACATTTGGAAGTTTGAGGACTAGTGTAGTTCTATATAAACTTTTTTTGCAAATTGCCTTTATTATCTACTTGTTCATAATAGATAATAGCCTTTATTAATCAGTATGTCGAATATTCACAATGTCCTCAGAGCTAAAATATAGAAAGCTGCAACTTTACTTAATAGTTTATTCTTTTAAAAACAGTTTAAGTGAACTCATTGTTTATGATCCTAGTCATAGATATAATAAAATTATATTACTGCATTAAGTTCTTCAATCCGGTTAGGTATTTTTCATCTTTTGGTTAGATAGTATAATTATAGTTATAGATAATTATTATATTTTTGACTGGTTTCTGACAAGATCATTCCAGTTTGGTTTATTTGCAAGTGATGGTGTAATGTGACATCAAAGCATATGTTGTGGAATGGAAAAACGAATATATTTTAGCACCAGTGTAATATCCTTTGTAGTTTAATTTATTGAAGCTGTAAAATTCAAAATTTTTATTGAAAATTTAACTTAAAACTAGATAAATTGGAGATGATTTTGTGTTATTCAGAAGAAATACCTTAAAAATAGTGTAGAGAGCTGTAAAATAATTCTTTATAAATAGAAATTTAAAAGAAGTATGAAAATTATCCTTGTTCTGTACTGTAAATATATGCAAATAACATCTTTGCAATTTGAAAAATGTATTTAATTCTTGGGCTGGGTGCTTCTGAAGACTTTAGCTATATTATTAAGCATTTTCCAGCATTTAAACTCCCTGTTTTACACAGAGCAAAATAAGACCAAAGTTAATTTTTTTACGATGTTTTTATTCATTCACACACGTGTGATTTAACCAATCTGCTTAGCTAATTGATCAGAATGAATGAATCTTAGTTGAACCTGTGAAAAGTCAGTATAGGGAGTGACATGGCAGGATTCTAATATGTTTGGTTGGTTGCACAGAAGCTAGAGGCAAACAAATGCTGAATGTCTCCTTAGCAAAGACAATTTAAAAGCGTGTAGCAGCATAGAAATGACTTGAGTTAGCAATGTGAGTACACACCATGGTTAGAGCCAGAAAGAAGAATTTTTAATAATCAATCTTCTTAATTCGAGCAAATTAAATCCTAGGGAGAGCTAATATTTCAGAAAAATTAATTGCTTAGCTATTCAGCTTATTCCATGTTTAATAAAGATCAGTTAATTCTGTAAACATTTATCAAATATCTTTTATATACCATGCCTTTGGATAAAGACTTCAAAATAGATGCTGCCCTTTGTTTAATGAGGAAAATAAGCTTACAAGGTAGAAAGAAAAAGCTGCCTATTATTAATGATAATTTTTAAAAAGTTTAAAATAATTGGTTGACTAGATTTCTGACTTTCACTTGACATTTTTAATGGTTTTTTTGCAAAGTGGACATCTGTGGCAGATACCATGTTAGGAAATGTTAATGGTACTACAAAAAGATATTCAAGTTTTTGAAGCTTAGGGATGTAAATGAGATTGATAATGAAGCAGAAACTACAGCCAGTTTTCAGTGTTTTCGTTCAGCAAATATTAATTGAGCATCTACTTTGGGGAAAGACAGTGCTGAACTACATTCAGCCAGCAAACCTCTTTTTTATTCAGCATAGTCTTTTGGGGTTTTGTTTTTATTTTTTGTAATTATCGTGAAATAAAATTGATTTATTCTTGGTGTACAGCTCTATGATTTAAACACGTGTAGATTCATATAACAGCCATCATGATGGGACTACAGAACAGTTCCATCACCCTAAAAATCTCCTCTCTGCTTTTATGATTGTGCCTTGATTACATCTTTATAATCACACTGTTGTCCCATCCGTAATCCCTGAAACCTGCTGATCTGTTCTCTATTACTTTATTTTGTTTTTTTGATGTTATAAAATAATATAATCTTATGAAATTAGAGTCACATAGTATATAACCTTTTGAAACTGACTTATTTTGCTCAGTGCAATTGCCTGTGAGATTCAACCAAGTTGTTGCATATATCTATAGTTTTGTTCTTTTTTATTGCTCAGTAGTATTCCATTGTATGAATGAACCACAGTTTATCCATTCACCTGTTGAAAGACAGGTAGATTATTCCAGGTTTTGGCAAATTTGAATAGAGCTGTTATAAATGTTTACAGGTTTTTGTGTGAATCTCAGTTTCATTTCTCTAGGGTAAATACCCAGGAATGGGGTTGCTGGATCATATGGTAAGTATATATTTCACTTTACAAGAAACTGTCAAGCTGTTTTCCAGAATGGCTGTACCATTTTACATGCCAAGCAGGGGTGTATGAGAATTCCATTTGCTGTGTATCCACACAAGCACCTGCTAGTCTCAGTATCATTTACTTTGTCATTCACTAGATGTGTCCTGTTATCACATTGTGGTTTTAATTTGCATTTCCCTAATGATGTTGAACATTTTTTCATGTGCTTATTTTGCCATTTTATATATTCTTTAGTGAAGTGTCTGTTCAAATCTTTTGGTCATTTTTTAATTGGGTTATGTTCTTTATGTTGAGTGGTGAGAGTTCTTTTTATATTTTGAATATAAGCCCTTCACTGGATATGTGATTTGTAAAGATTTTCTCCCAGTCCATAGCTTGTCTTTTTATTCTCTTAACAATTTTTTTTCCTGTATAGTAAACATACTTAATTTTGATGAAGTCTAATTTCTCAATTTTTTTTTTAATGTATCATGCTTTTGGTGTCATAGCTAAGAACTGTTTGCCTAACCCTATATTATGAAGAGTTTCTCCTGTGGCTTCTTCTGAAAGTTTTATAGTTTTACATTGAGGATTATGATTCATTTTTAGTTAATTTTTTAAATAAAATGTGACTTTTAGGTCTAGGTTCATTGTTTTGCACTGAGATGCCTTAATGTTTCAGTAACATTTGTTGAAAACACAATCTTTTTTCCATTGAAATACTTTTGCAGCTTTGTGAAAAATCAACTGTATACATGTGAGTCTATTTCAGGACTGTGTTCAATTCATTTTTGTGTCTTTCACTCTGCCAATAGCCCTTTTTCTTTATTATTGTAGCTTTATATTAAGTCATAAAATAGGGTACTATGATTCCTCAAACTTTAATATTTTTCAAAAGTGTTTTAGTTATTCTGGTTCCTTTGCCTTTCCATATAAAAGTTAGAATCAGCCTGTTTATATTTACAAAAAATCCTGTTGGGATTTTTATTGTAATTATGTTAAATCTAGAGATCAACTTGGGGAGACCTGAAATCTTTCCTATTTTTCCAATCCATGAATGTGATATGTCTCTCCTTTTATTTAGGTCTTCTTTGATTTCTTTCATCAGTATTTTGTAGTTTTTAGCATTCAGAACCTGGTCTGTGTGTTTTTGTCAGGTTTACAACCAAATATTTACTTCTTGGTGTTCTTGTTAATTTTTTTAAAAAAATTTGGTTTACAATTGTATATTACTAGCATAAAGAAACACAATTGATTATAAGAGAATACCACGAAAAACTATATGCCAACAAAATGGATAACCTAGAGGAAATGGATAAATTCTTAGACTCTTACACTCTCCCAAAGCTAAGTCAAGAAGAAGCAGACAATCTGAACAGACCAATCACAAGGAAAGAGATTGAAACAGCAATCAAAAGCATCCCAAAGAAGAAAAGCCCAGGACCAGAGGGCTTTCCTGGGGAATTCTACCAAACATTCAGAGAGGATTTAATACCTATACTTTCCAAGCTATTCCAAAAAATTAGGGAGGATGGAATACTTCCTACACGTTTTGTGAGGCCAAAATCACTCTGATACCAAAACCTGACAAAGACAGCATGAAAAAGGAGAACTACTGGCCAATATCGCTGATGAACATAGATGCAAAAACTCTAAACAAAATTTTGGCGACCCGAATTCAGCAGTACATCAAAAGGATCATAAATCATGATCAAGTGGGATTCATACCAGGGACACAGGGATGGTTCAACATCTGCAAATCAATCAGTGTGATACACCACATCAACAAATTGAGGAATAAAAATGACATGATCATCTCAATAGATGCAGAGAAAGCATTTGGCAAGATCCAACAGCCATTTATGATAAAAACTCTGAACAAAATGGCGACAGAAGGAAATTACCTCAACATAATAAAGGCCATATATGACAAACCCACAGCCAACATCATACTGAATGGGCAAAAACTGAGCGCCATCCCCCTGAAAACAGGAATGAGACAAGGATGCCCTCTATCACCACTCTTATTCAATGTAGTACTGGAGGTTTTGGCCAGAGCAATTAGGCAAGAGAAAGGAATAAAAGGAATCCAAATAGGGAGGGAAGAAGTGAAACTCTCACTGTTTTCAGATGACATGATCTTATATATAGAGAACCCCACAGAATCCATTGGAAAACTTTTAGAAATAATCAACAACTACAGCAAAGTTTCAAGGTATAAAATCAACTAACGTAAATCAGTAGCATTTCTATATTCTAATAACGAACTAACAGAAAAAGAACTCAAGAACGCAATACCATTCACAATTGCAACAAAAAGAATAAAATACCTTGGGATGAATTTAACTAAGGAAGTGAAAGACCTATACAACAAAAACTACAAGACTTTCCTGAAAGAAATTGATGACGACATAAAGAGATGGAAAGACATTCCATGCGCATGGATAGGAAGAGTAAACACAGTTAAAATGTCCATGCTACCTAAAGCAATTACAGATTCAATGCAATCCCAATCAGAATCCCAATAACATTCTTTACAGAAATAGAACAAAGAATTCTAAAATTCACATGGGGCAACAAAAGACCCTGGATAGTCAAAGCAATCCTGAGAAAAAAGAACAAAGCTGGAGGCATCACAATCCCTGACTTCAAAACATACTACAAAGCTACAATAATCAAAGCAGCATGGTACTGGTACAAAAACAGGTGTAAAGATCAATGGAACAGAATTGAAAGCCCAGAAATAAAACCACACATCTATGGACAGCTAATCTTTGACAAAGGAGCTGAGGGCATACAATGGAGCAAAGAAAGTCTTTTCAACAAATGGTGCTGGGAAAACTGGACAGCCACATGTGAAATAATGAAAATTGACCATTCTTTTTCACCATTCACAAAAGTAAACTCAAAATGGATCAAAGACCTAAAGGAAAGACCTGAAACCATAAGGCTTCTAGAAGAAAATATAGGCAGTATACTCTTTAACATCAGTATTAAAAGGATCTTTTTGAACACCATGTCTTCTCAGACAAGGGAAACAATAGAAAGAATAAACAAATGGGACCTCATCAGACTACAGAGCTTCTTCAAGGCAAGGGAAAATGGGATTGAAACAAAAAAACAACCCAGTAATTGGGAAAAAATGTTTGCAAGTCGTATATCTGACAAAGGGTTAATCTCCGTAATATATAAAGAACTCACACAACTCAACAAAAAAAATCAAACAACCCAATCAAAAAATGGGCAGGAGACATGAACAGACATTTCTCCAAAGAAGATATACAGATGGCCAATAGGCACATGAAAAGATATTCATCATCACTGATCATCAGGGAAATGCAAATCAAAGCTACACTAAGATATCACGTTACACCCATTAGAATGGCAAAAATAACCAAAACAAAAAGTAACAAATGTTGGAGAGGTTGTAGAGAAAGTGAAACCCTCATACATTGCCGGTATCAAACTCGCGCAGCCACTATGGAAAACAGTATGGAGATTTCTCAAAAAATTAAAATAGAGATACCATACAACCCAGCCATCCCAGTGCTGAGTATCTATCCAAAGAATGTGAAGTCAACAATTCCAAAAGTCCCATGCACCCCTATATTCATTGCAGTATTATTTACAATAGCCAAGAAGTGGAAGCAACCTAAATGCCCATCAACTGATGATTGGATAAAGAAGATATGGTATATATATACAATGGAATACTACTCAGCCATAAAAAAGAATAAAATTGTCCCATTCACAACAAAATGGATGGACCTTGAGGGAATTATGTTAAGTGAAATAAGCCAAATAGAGAAAAACAATCTCTGTATGATTCCACTCACATGTGGAAGTTAAACATGTAGACAAAGAGAACAGATTAGTGGCTACCAGGGGAAAGGCAGGGTGGGAGGTGGGCACAAATGGTGAAGTGGTGCACCTACAACATGACTGACAAACAATAATGTACAACTTAAATTTCACAATGTTGTAAACTATCATAAACTCAATAAAAATTTTAAAAAAAAGAAACAATTGATTTTTGTCTTGACTTTGTCTTGTGTTATTGGGAGTACAGATCTTTGACATCCTTTGTCAGATTTATCTGTAAGTATTTGTATTTTTTGTACTGTTGGTAAATGGTATTGTTTTCTTAAATTTTAATTTCCTATTATTCATTGATGAATATATAGAAATACAATTGACTTTTTTAGTTGATCTTATATCCTACAACCTTTCTAATTTTACTTATTGGGAATAGTCTTTTTTGTAGATTCCATTGGATTTTTATACTTACATGATCATGTTATCTGAAGATAAAGTCAGCCTTACTTCCTCCTTTCCAATTTGAACGTTTTTTGTTTTTTGTGTTATTGAACTAACTAGAACATCACATAGAATGTTGAGTAGAAGTGGTCAGAAAAGACATTCTTGTCTTTTTCCTAATGTTAGGAGGAAAGCATTCAGTCTTTCAAAGTATGATGTTAGTTGTAGGTTTTTTATAGATTCCCTTTAACAGGTTGAGGAAGTTTCCTTCTATTCATAGTTTGCTGAAAGTTTTATCATTCATGGATGCTGAATTTTGTGAAAAGCTTTTTCTGCATCAAGTGATATGATCATGCTTTCAATGTTAGTATTGATTGATTATAAAATATTGAGCCAATCTTTCATTCTCACAGTAAACACTACTTTATTATGTTGTATTTTTCTTTATATATATTGCTGGATACTATTTGCCATATGTTTGAAGGTTTTTTTGTTTTGTTTTGCCTCTGGAGATGAAGGATATTGATCTGAAGTTTTCTCTATTTTTGTACTGTTTTGGTTTTGATATTACAGTAGTGCTGGCCTTATGAAATGAGTTAGGAAGTGTTCTTTTTTATTTTCTCGAAAATATTATGGGGAATTATTTTTTCTTAAATGTTTGGTAAGGAAACTATCTGGGCCTGAAGATTTCTTTTTTGGAAGGCTTTTAACATGAACTGAATTTCTTTAATAGTTATGGGACA